CAATTTGGAATGAATATTCTGTGGTCAGGGTGTGCTTTGTTTGCGGCTTAATTTAACAAACAGGACACCCAGGTTTCTTAGACAGTAGCAGTACATTAACAGCTCCAGAATGTAAACCAGGTGCAAACATCAGTGTCCACTGAAAACAGCAAGGATTTGTCCTCTTTCATGAACACAAAACAAATCTGAAAGATGACCGTTATAGAAGAATGATGGTACAGCAATGCAAGATAGTAATTATGGCAAGCACAAGAAGTGTTTATCTGTACGTACATGCACACATCACCCCTTTCTGGCATAATATTTGATAATGCTATAGCCAAGGAAACTTAGCCAGCAAACTAAATGGAGAGTTCAAGTTATGGGAGTCAGTATCTTTAATTTTTAATTTAGTAACACTAAACTGACTTTGCCTTGAAACAAAATTCAGCACTGAATTTGATCATAAAACCCCCCTATGCTGAAAAAAATGGCAGTGATATTTGGATCATTATAGTATTTAGATGTAATTTACATAATAAAATAGTAAAAGGAGAAGTATTCAATTGCCATACAGCACTCTGGGCTTTGTGTGCTTAAAATTTAAAACCCGTGAGTCAGGGAGAGCTCAGGCAAGCGTGACATAGAGGAAGAAAGACAGAGGGATTTGTGACTCAGGCAAACATCTCAGTGCAGGAGACACAGGCAGACAAAAGGATCCTACCGCATGTGATGTCAGCCAGCAAACGCTCCTTCGGGAACAGCAGCGTCCTACGGATTGCGGCGCACGCGGACGGCGCGGTGCACATGCCTACGTCGCTGCAAGGAGCGCGAAGGACGTTGGTTATTGCAGCTACGGTTCAGAGACACTGCTGGTTACTAACGATAGCTGCTGTCAAACGGATCTGGCATTTGCGGAAAAACCCATTTCTGTCAATTTCTTGGGTTCTCATTTAGTATCCTCCACGTTCTTCCTTATTCGAGGAGAGTAAGCACAGGTCTCTAACATACTATTAATTTCAGCTAGTTGTTTCATATTTTATTTGTAGCAGTGGAACATTCAGGAGCCCCAGCTGAGATGCTGGTTCTGTTATGCCGCGATAAATCATTTTGTTTGAATAAATGATAGATTTTCCAGTATTCCAGAAGTCATTATCAAAAAAAAAAAAAAAAAAAATTGTTATTCGCTATCATGAAACCTCCAAAGGACATATTAGAAGCTGTCTATGCTGAGATTTTGTTTCACATACTGGAGCTATTACAAAAATCAGCTCTGCAAACCAGAGCCAGGGAGAAGGATCTGTTGGCGGAGACAAAATTAGATTAAAGGAGCCAGATTTCATTCTCATCTGCCGGAGACAAGAAGGCTGTTCCAGGCTTAGAACTGCGCATGAAGAAAGATGTTGACCATTGCCTCCCCAGTGGGTCTTGGGGATCTCAGTACCGTGACAAACTGTTTTTCTCTCACATGAGCTTGGGATTCTCTCGTGTGTCACCACATCAGTGCACAGCAGCGAGTGGTTTGGGAGGGTTTATAACCACCCAAAAGGATTCTAACCTGCCGGTTCCACGGCACTGGATGCAGAACAAAATTGCTTGTTTAGATTAATGCTTAAATCCCAGTTCTCTGAAAGGCAAGAACTTTTTAACTATCCCGCTGAGTGTAATACTATTCAAATTTGAACTGACAACATTTGCTTGTTGTGGTGACAAAGTAACTTCCCGTACAACAAGGATACAGTATCTACCACAGGGCTTGGCAACAGGAAAACACTGTGGTCACTTCTCCAACCGGGAGTCCTGCCTTGGAACTCTTTAGTCTGGCACGAGAAAATAACAATTTATCTCTTCCTGATTGGAAGTGTTCTCTGCCTTTTCCATTATGAAACACTGAGAAACCAGCTTCCAACCAGAACAAATTTAAGAAAACACAAGGAGGAAACGGTTTTAGCTAAAGGTGCAAAGTTGTAGCCAGAGTTCAAGTTACGCAATTGGACTGTCATGTCCTGAAGTCAATGACAGCCTGGGTCACTAACGTGGAAGGAGGCTCAGCTGCTGGCCTGAGTGTGGAATACACTGTTGAGAAAAACATATTTAAAATACAATATCCACGCCTCTGCTGAATTCAAATTATTGTTCCTATGATTATCTTGGGGAGGCTAAGAATGAGATTTATTCTAAGGCATTTCATGGATTAACGACAATGGCAAAATCCTTATTTCCTGCCTTTTTAACTCCATCCTTTTTTCTGAAAGAAAGAAGATATCCAAGTTGGAGGATAAATCATTGTGGTCCAGCTTGGTGGAAGAGATTGTCTTGCTATGCTCAGTACTCTAAGTACTACACCCCTTTAAGCTATTCTAATCTGTGAAGTACGTTTTATGAAGTTATCAAGTATGGTATGATATTCTTTTGTTCCAAGCCAGACCGCCTGGGGGGGAATTAAGTAAATAGAGCACTTATGTTGCACTAACACAAATATTACCACCCGTTATGTGGGGGGAATGATACTCCCGTGGAGGCCTAGGCCGAGGGGAGGGAACGGCTGCTTCCCAGCCAGGTGAAGGGGGCCACCCCGGGGCTGTGTGACGGGGTCCGTGCGGTGGCCTCGGAGCAGCGGTGGCTCTGGGGGCAGCAGCAGGGGCTGCCTGTGCCCTGGTGCTGCCCCGTCCCGCTCCAGGAGCCAGCGCCAACGCGACCGCTCCGGGGAGGCCGCGCGGGGACGAAGCGGCGCCCGGAGGCCTCCGGCCACAGAGCCCTGCGGGGTGGCGGGCTTGGAAAGTTGGCTTTGCCCTGCTGCTGGATCCTGCATTGACGCTCTGCGCTGAAGAATGAAATCATTGGGAACTGGCCCTCTTCCCAGTATTGAATTTCACCCACGAATGTTCCCACTATTAAACCGTAAACTACTATCTAGCTTCCTACAAGCAAGGAATATTTGTACAGTGTCTCTGATCTGTTTAGTACAGAGGCTAAGCTCTACACAGCCATAACTAAATCTGTAGAAATTATAACTGGTATTGAAAGCAAAAGTTTAATTACTATATAAGCAATCAAAACATTGGGTTGTATGCTGAAGGGATGCATAGAAAAGTATGTATTTTACTAAGGTAATTCCTCAAGAATTAAAGCTCATGCTGTTGTTTTGATTATTTTTAATGCTATTTGCCATTGAAGATGAAGAAGTATCAGGATATATATATATATATATATAAACATAGTTCAGTTTCAATCAATGAGAAGGGAGAATGTTTATAAGATAAAATACCCAGTCGTGTACATGGAAGTAAAAGGGAAACTTTACAGACTTCAAGAAGTAACTCTAACTAGGCCTAGATATTTTTCTCCAAGTCTCTAGACGTGTTTGTAAATAAACTTAGTTTTGTATCTCGCATTACATTAATTTTGCGGCACTCCACTAAGGAACATAGCTTAAACTTTGCTCTCACTTTTGGATGAACTTCAGCCCTCACCTCCAAAGGGCAGAGTATGCACACACCATTAAATTCCCAGAACACGGCATAAAAGGGATTTAAATGGATAACAGCTCGTCAGTGTCTCCTCGGAACAAAAGCAAACTCCATGCTTAGGAATTCCAGGGGTGCTGCTTGTGCACACTGTGGCACTGCGAGCCGACAGCCTCGCGCGAAACGACTTACCAGAATGGAAAGGACAGAGGAAGGGCCTGGCGCCGTGACAGGGCAGCGAGCTCTGGTGTCTGCCGATAGCGGGGACGTCTGCGCCCTCATCTCCGTTTAGCCCCGAAAGGAAATCGTGGTGACAAGGAGCGACTGATTGCTCAAGTGGATCAGCCTGAAAGAGAAGTCTCTGGACATAATTGTTATGGGCCTTGTCTTTGTTAAAGGAAAACGAGGGCCGTCGCGCTGCGACCGAATCTGCACCGTCCCAGAGCTGCTCCCTCATTTTGAGGATCTCGCTTCTCATAGTTTTTCTTTTCATTAGTTCTTTTTTCCTTCTTTCTTCCTCTCTGCTCTGCAGCAGATTTCTAAGTCTAACTAAATCATCGTGGACTGATATCCTTTTCCCACTATTGCTATTCATAGAACTCCTTTCCTAAACATGGGTCAGAATAGAAGGCTGAAAGTGGAATTTTCCTTTGGAATAAGATTGGAAGTTTCCACGACAGATGGAAGTGGGATTCAGGCCTGAAATCTTTTGTTTTGCAAATGATGTGGATATTTCAGAATAATGGAAAATTGAAAAGCTGTTTTAGTCCCCAAAATCATGAGAGAGGGAGAGAAAAAGAGAGAGAGAAAAAAGAAAGACGTGGACGATGTTTAGGAACATCCTAATACAGCACTGTAGGGCTACTCTTGTAGTGAACATTAGGCATTCTCACGTTTCTGAGAGTTCTCAGTAACTACATATTGATGTATTAATGTCAC